ACCGATGGGGAGGGGCTCTAGATTTGCAGGTATGCCGGGGAATGAATATCGAGATTTTCTCTTCAGCTGATCACATCATCAAGGTTATGAGTGATTAATTTGAGCGCACCAACGAGGAGCTTCTCGAGCAAATCCGCCTTGAGCAGAAGCCCCCTCTAATCGGGTGAAATGACCATGTTGGTCGGGAGTGTTCATTTTGCGGGTAGCAACGTCAACGTAATGCATGCATTTATTATAGCCGTTGTGAACTGGGAAACAGTTTCCAACCAAAGGAGCCTGCTTTGCTAGGAAAATTGCGCCCTCTGTTGGTCCAGCTCGGGTTTCATAATGTGAGGACGCGTTATTGCATCATGCATGTTACGGCGTCGACGTTGTGAACCAATGTGGGCCCACCACCAACGACTATAAAATGAGGACAAATATTAGTCACTCTCTTAATGTTTTATCGTGTTTTCTGGGCAACAGGGATCGGATATCATGAGGGACATTTGGCGGAAGAATTTGTCAGAGCCCTCAATCCACTCCGACCAGGAACACAAGAGGGCGTGTTTTGAAATGGTATTGATAGTCACCGCATGGGCGTGCAAGTTTATGCGCGTTTAACGCGGAGCACGCTGAGTACTCTCCTCAGTGGCCAATGCATACGGCGATCTTTTAATCATCTCCGACTCAACGTAGTACTAACAGGAAAAAATCGGCCCTGTGCAGCGGAGGGTTAATCCCTCCAATACTTGCTCTCCTCGCCGTATAACTACAAAAACATAACAGTACGACCAACAGCCATTGTATATTACAACAGCCGTCGGGCACGAACGACCAACGTGAAAAACATTACACACAAAGCCTCTTTGACACGCTTTGTGTAAATGAGATCAACGAAAAATACAAGATTAAGGGCCGTTTTCCAATGCTCAACTTCGGCTCCGTCTCAGGCTACAACTGTTTTTTTTTTTTTTACTAGATTACTTTGAAGCTGTAAGCGCAGTAATTAGTCTAATAGTGCCACAAAACATCAAATAAGATGCAGGAAAGCCAGAAATTACAGTAATCTAATTTAATTTAAACGCTTCAGGCCCACAATCGGGGATTTGTTTTGGGAACGAAGCATGAGACATAGCCCAAGTCAAGTATTGGAAAAGGGCCATAGAGAGGGAGAGAGAGAGAGAGGCGGGAGAGTAAGTGGGCCATGATGCAGTTGGTTCGCAAAGTGTTGACAGCCATGATACTGATCAATACATGGCGGCAGCAACTCGACAGCAGTTTATTCAACGGATCTTTAGTTGGACAATTGTGTTACAGTTCCGTGTCCGGTCTGCAGCGTCCCACCAGTGGTACTGGTTTTTATTCCAGTTCTGTACTGTGTTTTTTTTTTTATCCAGTGTTTAAAAGCCTTTTTAAAAGTTTAATTTGAATAAAATCCGGTACATTGAGATATGTGATTTGCATGTAAACGTAACAATTTGAATTCCCCAGACTTGAAGACACTGTTGCCATACCCCATGATTCGGGGCGAGCTTTTACATAGCGACCACTGGTCGATCTCTGGAATGGACTGGTTCCTTTGTGCCCTTCTTATCAATCGAAAACAGTGCATTGGTGCAAGGCATATCTTACCAATAACCGTGCAAAAGATTGCCCAAATCACGAGGTGTGCCAACAATGTCTTTAGTATGGAGAATTCAAATTATGTTCACCTGAATTTAAAGAGCTCTGTGTACCAGATGTTATTTAAAATTCAACTTGCAAATGGCTTATAGGTTATGCGTCAGCTTATCGGCCTATCGTTGACAACAATTTAATACAAAACCGCCACTACATTTTTTTTGTTGGCTCCTTTCAGTTCCAATATTTTCAATACATTTCTCAAATTTAGTGGGGAAATGAATCACTCGAATATTTTTTGTGTTCTTTGATGCTTGAATTTTGGTAATCATCGTGTAATTACCAGGAAAATGGATTCTTAAACTAAACCATTGTCGGACTCACCACATAAGAAGCCCCCTCCCCCGATATTGTAACACCTCTCCCAAATATACTGCTTGATTTAAACGACAACTGATTAATGTTTGCTCTTTATATGTCCGAAAGATACGTCTATTTGCATTGGGATATTTGAAAATACGGGCGATTCTCAACAATGCACCCCCCCCCATTTTGCAACGCGTTGGCCAATCAAGACACCCGAAATCTATCGACCCTTTCCAAACCAGTTTTGGGTCGATAGATTTCGCTCTTTGTTGTGAAACGCTTCCAGCACTTTTTTCCGAACAACTTCTTCGAGAAATGTTTGAACCGATCTGTTTTAGGCTAACACTTTGGAGTGCGCAAAACCAGTGTGCGTTTGCACACAATGCTTGGGGGTATTGCGTAAACTTCCTTGGTTAGAAACAGTGCTTTGGTTGCTACGGGTTGCTACCGTGAATTAAAGCAAGACACCAAAAATAGTGAATACCACTTGACTATGTAGGCCTCAGCCTATCAAAAAACAACTCTTAAAGGAAGTATAACCCACATAACGCAGTTTATGTCTGTGGGACGGACTGTATAGAAGTGTTTTACCGTACACGTTTTACACAGTAAAAATGCAATAGATTAGATATCACGGGAATAAACGGACATTTTTTTTCAAAGCTTGGCCAACAGTCAAGTTGTGCATCATTACATGCATGCCAAAACTCAAAAGTTCGCAACAAAGAATAAAGTGGGACAGGTGAAGTCATGGACGAGGGCAGTTCGCTGATCAAACGTTATCTTCTGTTTATTTTCGGCCATTTTGCCCAGCCGTGGGTTTCACGCCGATTCGCGTTGGCTGATGAGAAAGGGGAAAAACACGTTTGTTTTTGGTTGCATCTAGTAATAAAAGGTTTTGGGATAGCTGCATATAGGATAAAATCTTCAAAACTTGCCATCAGACTTTTGACCTTAACTTTACATGCCGCGTGCGTGTGTTCAAAATACGGTATATAGGCGCGGATCCCGGGGATGAGGGTCGACCCCCCCCCTGGTGCTCTGAGACGACAAAATCCTGGATCCGCCCCTGATCTATAGGTTGCCCAGCGCTAGGTGTGGTCGTACGGTCTGAGCAGATCGGCGGCCCAGCCTAGTGTTGGCACCCATTCTTTCACCGTTGTCTGTAGTCATGCCCGAAGCTCACAGATAACGTTGTGTTATAGGGTACAGTTACTGGTGTTATAAAGCTTACTGCAGATTGATTAGTTATTTGCTGGTGCGCTGGTCCAAAGGTGACTTATATAAAGGCTTACAGACTACACTTACGAATGTAATAATAGGTACCTGTACTTCCGATATGTGAGAGAGGCGGTTATCTCGTGTGGGTGACACCTGTGCCATCTTCAGGGCATAATACAAAGGCTTTGTAATACTAATAATAATCAAGCACCCATTTTTCGTTTTTTATTTTATTTTTTTATTTATTTATTTATTTATTTTTTTTTTTTTTTTTTTTTGGAAGAGCTGGGGATGGAATCGTACCAGTGCTTTATATCCGTGCTTGGTCGTCATATCAGTGTTTCGTCTTTTGTTTTACGATCATCCCGAAATCGTTTTTTAAACCAGTTTTGAAAGTCTCAGGTGAAATTCTCTCACAAATTACATTTTTCACCGAGACAGGATGGTGCCAGAATTCGTGCGTTTCGCTTGACGTGGTCCCGTGACACCCAGGAAGACACTGTGAGGAAGTGAACGTTACCGGACAATAATCTAAATCATTTTGGGATTGAATCGCGAAGAACTGTTCCAAGAGATAATGCACGGTTTAAAAAAGTGGCTCTTACTGAACTTCATTTTTTGTCAGGGTCAAAACCTGACTAAACTGAGCAGTCCAATGCGTTTGATCAAGCCACTATAAATAATGCCACATTCCGTCTCATCCTATCTTGTCTTATCTTACACACTCCGGTCGCAGGTATCCACGTTAACAAACTAGATCTGCTCTTATTCACCTTCGCCTAAAATATATTCTAATATGAACTTAAAATAGCTCGGGCAAGATTTGATCGGCGATAACTTCTCTATTCACTGGCTATTTGTGGATTATAATCTGTATGCAATTCAAGCTGGGTACCGGTATATTGACCAACGTCGAGTAAATACATGTAGTTATTGGCACAATTGCCTTCTCAAATCAGATTTCTTCATTCTGTAAACTTTATTTTTTGGGGGGGTCAAAAACCAAGTAGAGTTCCCAAAAATGCGAGTGAATTATGTTCATGTACGACAATTAGAATTTTTCTTCCGAGTATTCGATTCATTTTTGCGATGAAAACGCATCCATGGCAAGTTTCTGTGGAGGTCACTGTCAGTGGCGCAACAAAGGGGGACACGAGCGGACGTCTGTACCATCATTTGAAAATTTGAAATGCACACAGCCTATGGGTTAGTCACAGCAGCTTTGCTTTCAGGGGCCCCCTTGAAAGTGTGTCCCTCCTGGGTGCCCCCTGAGCCATGTCCCAAGTTACACTATTGGTCTAACTTCTGTTGCCAGAAGCTCAAAAGTCAAAGGTGTTTACGCGAAATGTATTGTTGTTTAGACAGCAAGGGTCAAAGATGTCCGCATACGTCCCGTGGTCTCGTTTTATCTCCATTTATTCGTAACTATAAAAAGGACCGTTCTGAGCGTTCGCCAGTTATCTGTACCTTGATGAAGCCTCTGTTTATAAAATTCAGGTTCGTTGGTTGATTCAAGACATTACCAGCTATGGGCAAAACAGCGATCCTCGTGTATTTAGTCGTTCCTGCCGCTTTGTCCGTCGCTCTTTTTTGGAGTGACACGGTGGCGGCGCATTTGCCCAACGACAGCAGAGTTCTCTTTTTGGTANTTCTGCGTCACACACGGCCTTCTCGCTGGATTGGCATACTTGACGAGGGCCGCTTACGCGTTCATCTACAGCCCGCTCGTGTTCTACGGCGATGAGGGAAAGGATTCATACTTCATCGAGAAAGGGCAGGCAGGTTTGACCAAGGAAAGCGCCATTGCAGCGATGAAGCGATCGCGGAAAATCGGAGACATGCCACCTGTGTATCCCAACGGTTGGTTCATTGTCTGTACCTCAGCGTCGCTGAAGAAAATGGAGACAAAATACGTTTATGTTCTAGGTAAAAACTGACATTTTTGAATTTTCAAATCAGTTATAGAACAAAGGTGTAGAGATAAAAGTGGTTAATTGATGTGGCCTGTTTGTGACAGCGCAGCAGGGGTTGGGACGTAGTGCAAGTGCGATCTTTGTCGTTCTCGTAGCTGAACGGCCAGTTTTTAATGCTCACAAACCATATAGAACCTTAACGCCGGCACCACTGATAACTTCACTGGCGATAACCATACTGCCCCCCCTTCAAACCAAGCAAGAATGTACGTCATGAATTCCAGAGATTCTAGTGCCTGAAATTTCGTCTCTCATAATCAAAATTTGGGACAGACTTAGTGTTACACTTTGGAGGTTTGTATTAAACCCCCTAGGTTCTCCATACTTTAAACAAGAAGAGGTCAAAATATCTACAAGCAAAATAATGGAACAGAATGGGTACAAGGGTGTCAGAAACATATACGTGCTGCCCTATACTGTCATCCAAAGAGCACACATAGGAATATAAGGCTAATTGCAATTTCAAGGTACGTTTCTGACTGTCGTCAGGTTTGAATCTGGCTGTGTTTCGTGGGGAGAGCGGCCGGGCTTACATCGTAGATGCCTACTGCCCTCACCTGGGCGCTAATCTGGCAGTTGGGGGGAAAGTGACCGGGGAGTGTATAGAATGTCCGTTTCACGGCTGGACGTACCAAGGAGAGGACGGCAAGTGTGTTAAGATCGGCTATGCAGAAAAAGGTAAAGCTTCGGTAGAATAATTCTGCTTTGAATGACATGCACTTATACGATATCGTCTCAGTGAATTGCATTTCTACACCGAGCCCCTCAAACTGCATTTTAGTCATTTTAAGATCAGTTCTGTTGCAAGATAAACGTTCTGTTCTAACCAAACATCGATATTTCTGACACGAATAAGCGAAAAACATTATGTTTTCCCTAGTAATGTGCTCAATTCACGTGGGCCGACGCGTCTGGGCCATGAATCTCTAATGGTTTTAAAAACAAAAACCATATGTAAGATTGAATGTAAACTTCAGACACGCGTAAACGTACAACGAGCGTCAAGTTCAAAAGGACTGATCATGTGACAATCCAGTTCTTAGGGGGCGGAGTCTGCCTCCCCCAGCTGAGGAGTGGTCCGAAGAAGCCCGGTTCGTAGGGTTGAGACCAGTGCTTCTAGTTCACTAACTTTTAAATTCCCTTTTTTTTTACTTTAGCGAGCAAGAACTTTTTGAGGGACATTTTACCATCAAAGCGTGATCAATGTAGCCTGAGGGCAGGTTCAATTTCAAAGAAGACTGTGTACAATGTTGGATTGGTAGGATGGATTAATAGCATAGGGTGGCGCTTCCCGCTTTCAGATGTTTTTTAATAGGTTGCTTTATTTCATATAAAAGTGTTACCAATCAGGCGCATATCCAGAATACCTCAACCCCACTAATTGCCTGTGAGGTCTACGTCTGAAGGTTGAAGATCCCACTTGAAAGCATAAATCTTGTCTAAATTGTCGTATATGGTTTAGAAGAAAACCAAGGGATCAACTGATTTCACTTACGGCGACAGCATGCAGTACTCTCCCGGTACAAACAAAAATCCCCCGAGCAGAAAATCCTGGTCCGACCCTGTAATTGAAATTATGGTCTATATCTTATTCCCCCTGGTACTCCATGTCACCGCAGTGCCAGACTTTGTCAAGGTTCCAACCTACCGGTCTTTGGAGATTAACAATTTGATCCTGCTGTGGTACCACGCTGAGGGAGAAGAGCCGTCCTGGTACCCGCCCGAGGTGGAGAAAATCAAGAGTGGGGAGCTGATGTTAGACGGTACCTGGGAGGTTTACCTAGACTGCCACATCCAGGTGAATTAATTCTCTTCGTGGGCACCAGTTACTGAAAGAGCGACAATCTTCAATAGTAGACAAATCTCGTTGGAACATGCCTCCCCCCTCGCCCCTGTCAATATTGCTTCTCATTGGATAGGTTGGGCCGAATCTTGGTCCAAGAAATCACCGCAATATTGAATGCGGGAGAGGGGGATCTTCTCACCGCGCTTTCCACAAGGTGCTCCAACTTTTTTTTTCCAGGATTTTAGTTCGGTAGTTGCCAAGGCAAGGTCGTTCGAGAGCAAAGCACTTGATGAGAGGTCAGTCCTGTCCAACATGGTCGATGGGACGACGAGTCAAATGCAGAGTGTGGCCGAGCTGAGCGTGTGACAAGGCCGACCTCCCGCCTGTATGCTAGTGTTCTCGAGTGACCAGGGGCGTAAATCTGTGCCAGAAAAACTGGGGCATTGTTGGGATGGAGTTGTGTGTGATGGGGGTGACTTGCCCAGCCATGGAAATTTGAAAAGCGCGGGGGGAGGGGGAAGGCAGGAGAAAAGATATCATAATGGCACTCTATGGGGGGTGTTCATGAAACCAGACGTATACATCTGTGATATGTATTACATTTGTGCAGAGGTTTTCCAACAGAATGCTATATTTATGGCTTTAGAAAATTGTTTTTCCCTTTTGAGTGATATCGAATACATTTTAGCTGCGCTAACGGCATTTCTGACGTTCGGTACCGTAACGACTTTATTACAGAAGGACTCTGCGTAAAGAGCGCGCTCGTTTTGAAGCCTTGACTTCTGCAGGGGAAAGGGCACGTGACTAAATATGGGGGGGGTTGGTACGCCACTGCTTCGCAGTACGTATGGACCCTAGCGGTTAACGAATTTTGAAGCCCGGCTGCCGCGCTGGATCGCGTGCTGGGCGTCGAGGCCTTGGGTTAGTTTGAAAGATTGATTCAAATCCAGTTTCGGAACAAGGCTGGTTCGTAGGAAAAGATACTCATTTGAGCAAACTGCAGCATGTTGACAAATAAAAAGATTGCTTCCATGAGATCACACTAATACTGAATATGTTCTGATGTCTTCAGGATGTTGTGGAAAATGGTGGTGATGCGACACACTTGGATTATGTCCACGGACCGTAAGTGCAGACAGATTGATTGGTATGAATGATTTAAAATCAAATTATAATAAATGAATTGAATGAAACCATTTTAGATTTATTTATTATTTCTTGCCTTTCCGCTCCTCGATTTATGAGAGCATCCTGTGGGGGGAGTCAACCGTCTTTTTTTGCATTTTGTTTATAATCATTATTATTCAGATTGTTCGCCTGCTTGCTTGCTCGCTCGCTCGCTCGCCCGGTTTTTTGTTCTCATTCTCCCAGTGAGACATTTTATGCGAGCTTATTGGAGGTTTGCATGGCTGCCATCTTGCAGGCCAGTGCTTTTGTTCGACAGGGTATGCACAACACAAAGGAGGTTACCCTGTGGAATACAAGAACTACCCAGCAAGATGGCTACCACGCAAAGCCTCTATTGAGCGTATAAGGTTATAACGGCTTCAAAAGATTTCACCCCAAGGTTCGTTAAGGACAAAATCGCGAATTGCAGTACGGTATCAATTTTGGTACCCCACAAGGTAAAAACTGGCCTTGTGGGGTACTTCCCATTGTTCCGGTACCCCACAAGGCACCATGTATAAGCACACACATACACACCAACAGCTGGATACATCGCTGAATGGATTGGATGGCTGCGCTTATGAAACAAGTACCGGTACTTATTCGACACGTTTTCCATTTCCAAGCAGGACCTAATTTCACAGAGCTGCTTAAAGGTTAGCAGAAAAACCGGGCTAACTTTATCCGAATATTTTGGTAACCTTTATTAAGCACTAGTTTCGTGGCAGTGATTGGCGTGGTTGTGCTAACGGTTGCACGCGCACAAGTGTTACGTCACTAAGTTTAAGCAAATTTTTACTCCAAAGGTTAGCATGCCTTTGGCTGTGCTAACAGTTTATGGTCTCTTGGAAACACTTTTGATTAGCGAGAAACACACCACAAAATGACATCTGAAGCCTGATTATATTTCTCTGGTATAAATTCAGCAAAAGTTTACACAGTGCGGAAGATCTCCGCAGATAGAGTTTGGTGTAGTCATTTGCTAGATGGCGTCGCCATTTGAACTAGCTACAGAAAGTGACCTCAACTTTGCCGAAATTTAGCGCATGCGCACAAACTAAGCGGAAGGGGTGAACATACGTGCATGCTATGCTTGTCAATGGTGTCTCACGTAGAACTGCTTTAGATTTTAACAATACGATAAAAGTATATAAATATCTCCATTCATGTGTGTGCTGTTTTTGTTCCAACAGGCAAATCTTCCCCAAGAATTTCATCAATGTGAAATGGGAGGTTCATTCGACCAAGAAGCACGTCTCCATCTCAGACTCGCAGACGTTACCTTTCTACTCCTCCAAGCCCTTTGTGAGGAACATCCAGGAACAGGTAACTTTTGAGCATTTAAAAATTTAGGCCAGGCGTAGATTTGCGCAGAAGAGCAAAAATCAACTACACAGGTAGGTGATACCAGTCACCCCTACAAAAATATGCTTTGAATGTTTTTAATCACCGCCATGTATATGATTATGTTTTTCATAAAATACAGTACAACACAAAGAGTCTCCAAAGAAGACCTTTTTACCCTGCATATCACCTTGGTTGTTGGTGTGGGACTTGAATCAAAAATTATTTGGAGACTTTTAAAACCTTGACCTAATTTGAAGGTTCGCATTGTGAATCGGGCAAGGGGAGTAAGTGTAGCGATTCTCTTCTATGGGTTAGTGTGGTTTAGAAAAGACTCTACCGTAAGGATGCCCATCCTTTTAGACATTACATTCTCTCCGTCGTCAGCAGACTATTAAATGAATCACAGATGGTCTAAGGAATTAGAACTGACGCTGTGATTTTATGTGCAAAAGAAGGAAGTTTGTGTAGCCGTTTCTCCCAGGATTTGCCGAATCAAGTAACAGACCTCTCTGTTGTAACCGCGTGGTGGCACTGCTTTGATCTCCTCACAGTATGGGCCCGGTCTCTCCTACGTTTTCGGCAACGAATTCCTTCTGGTGGGCGCTGTGCCTGTGGGACCACTGAGACAAAAGATAGTGTTTTCGCAGTACTCGCGTTCCACGTCTGTCTTTGGCATCTTTCGTAGACTCTTCATGAAACTCCTGCTGTACTGGACGTATGTGGTCGTAAGTAAATTCATTTCCCAGCTAATGGGTGATAAACAGAGCCAGCAGGCGGTGGTATGGTGTCGAGAAAATTGGGGGGGGGGCATTGTCGGGGTATGCTGATCCAAATCACAAATTACATACCCATTTCCAATGAGTTTCACGTTGAGTTTAACTTGAGTTTTGATCAGTGACCACACTGAGTTGTCACGTTGACCAGAGGAGGTCTTGATTTTCCCTCTTTGCTATTCTGGGGGGATGACCGTGTGACCCATCCTTAGACTTAAGGTAGGCTGGGATTTAGGCTGTGAATTGATTCGAATAACTGAATATGCAAATAACCTATTTTTATTTTTATTTATTTGCAATAAGTTAAGGTAAAAACAAAGTAAGGGAAAAGTAATCCGTGACCTTTTCTGCTAGGCATTTACTTGAATTGTCTTACATTTTAAGCATAACACTTTGAAATATGTGTTTACAATGCAAGTTGGTAAATAAATGATATAATGATTTCGTTTTATGTCCGCATTGAATTTCCATCTATAATGTGTATTCAACGCCTTAATCGATTATCCGCATTAAGTTAATCATTTTCCTTCCTAACAAGTAAAAACGACGGAGTGGATTCGAACCTTGGACTTCCGAAATCCGCTGCCGATCATCGGTGATTTTAACACACTCATTTCTATAACCACTCTATAAAGCCTTTGAAGGAATTATGAAAAATGTTTCCCATAGAGGGCGCCCTCTTTCGAAACTGTCGGATCTTGTTTGGAAAGAAAATCCGGCCAGCCAAAACCCACCTAGGTGATAACCCTTTCATTGTACGTCTTTTAGAATGATGTCTGTGTTTCCTGTATCTAGATTAAAGGAGACGTATTCATCTGGGCCAACAAGACCTACAAGAAAACTCCTCAACTCGTGAAAGAGGACAAATTCCTCCTGGGGCATCGCCGCTGGTTCTCCCAGTTCTACACCGAGCACAGCCCGCGATACAACCCGCCAGATCCTCTGCAGTGGTAAATGCCGTTGGCGAGGAAAGGAAAGCGAAAAAAACCTAGCGCCTAATGCGACTACCCAACGCTGGTTAATAAACCAGGCTCGTAAAGCGAAATGACGAAATGGCTCCCGCAGCAATCTGCAGGGTCGCTCATAGGAAACATGAGGGGACGATAAGGCTCAAGCTGGCTTGCATGGAGTGTCGGGAGTCGGGGGTCAACCCCCCCCCCATTGGTTAGTTTTTGTTGACAACATAAAAAACAAAGAACAGAGAATGAAGATGAACAGTACACTAGTTTTGCGTGACGGTCCGTCGGCAAATTTCATGTGGCACCCCCACTCAAAATGATCTGGTGACGCCCCTGATTCGGGTAAGGGAAATATGCTATATGGAGGGTTCATTGTTCTATTCTTTGATCTTTGTCGTTTCCCTTGTTCTGCCTGAACAAGTAGTCTTTGAAATTATTTGTCATTAATTTATCTGAAAAACATGCTGGACGTTAAGCCCCTCCATATCATATAATACGATTATATTACTTTCATATTTTGGTTATTGGCGTTGTGTCATACAAGCCTCGTTTATTGACTGCAGTGGGTTGTCTGATCGGGTGCACCTGTGGCGTGTTCTTTGGGAGACGGTACAGGTTCAGAAAGGTGCCATTAATTAAATCATAATGAAGTGAGATTAAGACAACTGAAAATTATCCTAAGGGTGTCGACATCTAATATTTCAAATGACTCCATCCGTAGATACACAACGTTTAGACGTATGGCAAAATCCCGTTCTCATGGGACTCACTGTCATCACTATACGCAAAATATTATTTCCCGGCTACCTTTTCAAGGGATGACTCCAGGTTCACAGCTATTTTGAAATAACAAACCATAAATTAAGGACAGGGGAAACATGAAGTATATTGGAACATTTATATTTACACCAATGGTATTTACACAATTTACAAGAGGAAAAATAAACACCAGAGATCTCGATTCAGTTAACAATTTCTTATGTTCAGAGTCAGACCTCCCTCAAAGCAAACTTCGCCTGTATGTTCCCAAACTAACTTTAAACAGCATAAAAAGGTTACTAAAAAGACAGACTTGTTCTTTCGAGAACATTTATAAACTCAGGTTACTTCCTCGCGTGTGGCGGGCAAAGGTCCTGCATCAAGGTTGACCTTCTGTGGATGTCTCGACAAATAGGTCCGTGGTAGCCTTGCTCGGACGAAGAGTTGGTCCCGTGTGAACGAGCTCACAAAGTTATTGGAGCGAGAGGGGAAACCTCAATCCCAGGGGGTACGGCCATGGTTATCCCACTGGGATCCATCTTAGGACGGTTTCCAGGCTGAGCGTTGCAGGAATCGGGACCAGTATAGTTAGGATCTGTTGGCTCTGGTTTTGCCAATTTCGATCCGATCAAACCGGAACTGATATTTACCGGCCGATCTCCACCTGCTGCGTCAGGGGTCTCAAGATGGTTAGTTGTTACCGGTCAACCATACGCTCTCACTCAGTTCACACACTCAAGATGTTTTTTGGCCGGCGATCGTAATAGCACTGCGTCACACTCGTCTCACGCACCTTAAATTTTACTAACCAGAAAAGCGTCTGGCATGTACGGACAACAGAAATCATAGCTGTACAGCTGGACTTCAAAACACGAACAAAAAAACAACATTGTTTCAACAATGACCAAAGGCCTCAAATTCCACCTGCAATTCATAATTTGGTAGACACTTGCCCTTTCTGTCCCCTCTCCACCAGAGGGTAAGCTTATGGGCATTACAGCTGGGAAGCGACATAAGATAGACTGGCATCTCATCCAGGTGCGAAATAGACACTTTCTCAGGCGTTTCATTCCTTAGTGAGGGCGAGTGGCTCGGGCGGTTTTTACTCTTCGATTCAAAGAACACTGTTAACATCTGTCCCAGTGGACGGGTCTGGAAACTAGACCAACATAGATCGTCTGTAAAAGTCATTTAGAAGAAAACAAAAACCTTACTTCAAGAAAGTGTTCTGCTTTACTCAATCATCAAGAAACCCATGACCGAAACGTGCCAAATGTGGGAATTTCATCAGAAAGTAAAACAAACAAACAAACGAAAAAAAACGGGGAAAACTAGACAGAAGTGTTTGTAAACAAGTACAAACACAGAGCTTTTTCGGGACTGTTTTACCAACAAAATAAGTATTGTTGATCAAAGCTCTCAAACTAACCCAAATGCTGGGTTGAAAACGTGTACAAAGTCAAGGGGCTGAAATAAATATTGAAAAAAACAAGAGTAAATCACATGACGACGTCATGATGACGTCATTTATTTATAATAATTTCTGTATCAAGGTCTTTGTTTGCTGTCACTTTGAAAACGATCAAACGTCCGAAAGGGTTCAAATTGTGCCTTGAAAACTTGTACAAAGTCGTGTACAAAACCTATGGCGAGAAATTAAATATTCAAAAATGAATATAAAAAAACGGGATGATGTCATCATGACGTCATCCCTTTGCAATAAATCTTGCATCGGGGTCTTCGTTGGCTATCACTTTGGGAACGATCAAAGACTGCAAAGTTACCAAAATTGTCGCTGACAAACGTGTACAAAGTTAAGGGGCTATAAACTTGTTTCCAGAAACACTGCTTCTTTAAGTTCGTGTCACGTGATTTGCGCTTAAACGGAACAATTTTTATGAAATATTACTTCATATTTGGACTCTTCGGCATATTACAAATAAAATAACACGGCGTAAAGTACCCGATTTCTCCTTTGTTCTTATAGTAATCTTGCGCCAAAGTTAAAGACTACTTGTTCACTTGTGTTAAGTAGAAAAACGTGTACAAAACCTATGGGGAAAAATAAAATATTCAAAAATGAATATAAAAAAACGGGATGATGTCATCATGACGTCATCCCTTTGCAATAAATCTTGCATTGGGGNAAAGACTGCAAAGTTACAAAAATTGTCGCTCAAAAGCGTGTACAAGGTCAAGGGGCTATAAACTTGTTTGCAGAAACACTGCTCTTTTAAGTTCGTGTCACGTGATTTGCGCTGTAACTGAACAATTTTATGAAATATTACTTCATATTCGGACTCTTAGGCATATTACAAATAAAACAACACAGCGTAAAGTACCCGAATTCTCCTTCGTTCTGATAGTAATCTTGCGCCAAAGTTAAAGACTACTTGTTCACTTTTATTAAGTAGAAAAACGTGTACAAAACCTATGGGGAAAAATTAAATATTCAAAAATGAATATAAAAATAAGGTGATGATGTCATCATGACGTCATCCCTTTGCAATAAATCTTGCATCGGGGTCTTTGTTGGCTATCACTTTGGGAACGATCAAACACTGCAAAGTTACCAAAATTGTCGCTCAAAAACGTGTACAAAGTCAAGGGGCTAGAAACACGTGTGCAGGAAAACTGCTCCTTTAATTTCATGTCACGTGATTTTTGTCTAAACTGGGAAAAACTTATGAAATATTATTTAATATTTGGACACTTGGGTACATTTGTGATCGAACGGAAGGGAAAATTTAGTCTGATTTCTTCTTTGTTCTGGTAGTAATTCTCGGTCGAAGTTGAGGACTGCTCACGCATTACGCGGGACAATGTGTGTACAAACCCTATGTTGTGCAACAACGCCATCCATGGTTCAATACGGGACAGCTTGTTGAAAATTGAAAGCCCAGGCAGGTGTGACCGTAATTCTGCAATAGCGCCCTCATAGCCTGATATAGGATAGTCCGAAAACTGTGTGCAATCTGTGTACAAAGTCTAAGGGGGAAAATTAATTTTTAAAAAATCAATAATAAATAAACTACTAAGTTATCACTGTGATTTTCTTCTAGGACCATCCTTGAATGATCACACAACTATCCTCCAAGTTTGAAATTGTTCTGATTTTCTTAGGTGCCGAAGTTTAGGGGTAAAAGAATTTGGCTGAAGAAGAAGGGGAAAAAAGGAAAGAAAAAAAACCAGAACGATTACAATACCTGGTTCGGCTGAACTGCCGAACCAGCTAAAAAAAAAAAAGGAAAGAAAAAACAGCACGATTACAATACCTGGTTCGGCTGAACTGCCGAACCAGTTAAAAAAAAAAAGGAAAGAAAAAACAGCACGATTACAATACCTGGTTCGGCTGAACTGCCGAACCAGCTAAAAAAAAGAAAGGAAAGAAAAAACAGCACGATTACAATACCTGGTTCGGCTGAACTGCCGAACCAGCTAAAAAAAAAGAAAGAAAAAAAAAA